TCCCTATCCCAAGAGCCTGTTTCTCCATGCTCCCTGCTCTCCTGCAAACAAGCCTACTCACTGACACCAGGTTAACATCTCCTGCCGGGAGAGCTGCCCGTGCTGGCCCCAGGGCCCTTCAGGCAGCACATGGAGCCTCCACACTCCCCACGTGGGGATGTGTTTTTGCTGGGCCGTCAGAGCATGAAGGCTGGGCAGGCCGCTGCTCCCCACACCCCGCTGAGGACCATTTTGGACCCGACACACAGGGTGCTGCTCGGTGGCCTCACCAGTCCTGCCCTGTGACAGCAGTGCCTTCTGAGCCATGAGTTTGCTCCTTAGAAGAAAGAACGACGTGAATTTAATTTTCAGTCTTGTTAGCAAAGACAATTACTTCTCATCTGATTTGCCAGATAGATTGACTGTCATTTTGCCCTCATCCTCGGGAGTCTAATTGAACATCACATTGTAATCTTATTGACAAGAGCAAGCGGCTTCATTAGAGACACATGTACTCCTGAATTCGAAGCTGACTAATACAATTCCTGCTTAACAATGAAGGGGCAGCCAATACGTTCTGAACTTCAGGCTTCCCTCCTTCTATCCCTGCTCCCGCTATACCACATGCAGGTCATAACAACTGCAAGAGAATATAGTGCCCCAGACCTGATCCCACATCCCCGTCCCACCTGGTGAACACAGGAGGGATTGGCTGCCGAGCTGTCGGCTTCTCCCTCCCCCGTTGCACAGACGGGTCGGTGTGGTGTGCTCAGCAGTGACTATGTGCACCCCTGCTGCACTGCTTTAGCTCACCGCTCCGCCGACTGCCCCCTTATCCGGCAGGGAAGGAGGGGATCCCTGGGTCCATGTCCGGGTTTATGGCCTGCAGATAGCTGGCATCTGCTGGCACTTTGCATGGTGCTCTGCTACCTCTCTACGGTGTGAGCTCTGGCAAGTGCTATGGCTATGGTAGACGGCCCCGGGAAGCACCTCTGGAGAAGAAGGGCCTGGAATCACTTACAGCACGAGGTGAAGTTCCTCCAGCCGGTAATGGCGATGCCCTGCGTTTGGCACGTGCTGGCGTAATTCTGCAGCCAGCTGCAGGCCGTTTGCATGGCTCCCCCATCGACGCACGTGTCGAAGAGGCAGTTCTTGTAGAAGAAGCCAGGGTTGATCTTGCTGTGGCATTTGGCAAAGACACCACTTTGACTCGGGATAAGGCTGCAGAGCTGTTGGGGTTTCCAGAAGCCTTCCACCTTCCCGCAGGCAGGGCAGCGGTCGCCACAGCCCACGCGGCAGAACGCGTCCCGCTTGGCCCAGCTCTGGATGAAGTCAGCGACGCTGGCAGCCGGTGCACCGCCCACGGTCACCAGGTCATCCTCGGGGTTGCCATTGTAGTGGCCACAGAGGCCGTAGGTCAGGTTCTGGAAGCTGCGCGGGATGGTGACGGAGAGGAAGGTCTTCCAGTCGTACACCACCTTCAGCCCGAAGTCGGTCTCGACCACGATGTGAAAGCCGAAGGCAAAGATGTTCACTTTGCCCTGGCCCAGCTTCAGGGGCAGGTAGAGACGCTCGTTGTTGATCTGTGGGGAAGGAA